ATGGTATCACTTATATGTGGAATCTAGAGAAACTGAACAAAGAGTCAGGAAAAAGACAAAGCTTGCAAGCTGGCCATACTCCCGAGGCACACAGCAGGGAGAGGTCAGCACAGGGGCGCGCTGTGACGGGCCCCGGGTGTCGTGGAGGGAGAACTATGGGGCTCGCGCCTGAGGGGAGAAATCAAATACTGCCCCCAAATTAGCAATGATGGTAGAAAATAAATTAATTAAAAGGATACAAAACTACCAAAAAAAAAGGACTTGTTTTTGCTTTTTTTGTGTTTAATACTAACAAGTGTGTTAATGCTAACACCTGCTAACAGGCACTAACCAGCGCTGGATGTAGATCACGACGTTCAAGTAATTTTTTAAAAAGCAGAGAACTCAAACTGCTCACAGCCCTGCCATTCACAAGCAGCCAGGCCCCTGGCAATACTCTGGCATGAAGCCTCCCACTGCCTCCGACTGGCCACGAGGCTCCGTGTATCGTGGCGTCTTCTTCACTGCTGATGGCAGCGGCACTTCGCCCCCGAGGCTCACAGAGCCCACTGCATGGGCGCGCTGTGACTGGCATCATTTAGCCGCACGGGCAGAAACTGAGGTTGTCTTAGCATTTCACCATGCTGCGGTGAATGTCCTCAACACTTAGGGACGCACCATAAATAACGCCTAAGTGCCCCACAGCAGAGCTCGCTAGAAATGAAGGGGTGTGCAGGTTCTGTAACTGGGCTCTGGGGCTGCACCGGCACCCGGCTTCCCTCCACCGCCGGCCCGCCGAGGTCCCCAGAGGGCGCTGCAGGAGAGCAGGGAGACCTCTCGGCAGCCGCGTTCGGCTTCTGGGTTTGCTCGCAGGCAGCACCAGCGGCCAGCGTCCTTCCTCAGGGCAGGTCTCAGTCGGGTCTGAGGCATGCGCCTCCCCGGCATGCCAGCCTGCAGCAGGAGCGCTGCCCCACCTGCAGTGTTAGTGGAGGGCCCTTCCTTGCCTCTTCGTCTTCCAACAGCTGTTCAGCCAGTTGCTTGCATCCAGTTCACTCTAGTAAAGTAACGGGCGCGTTCCCGCTTTCCTGGCTGGCCCGTGGGGGACGTCAGGCTACGAGCTGCCAAACCCCCTCCAGAAGCTTCACCCACTTACACTTTTCACAGGGCTGCGCAGCGCATCTGCATGGGAGCTGAGGGCAGGTGACGTCAGTTTCTGCAGACAGGTTTGTTTCTCTCTACCGATGTTAGCATTGGGTATTTTCATATTAAAAAATTAATTTGAGGCCCTCCCTGGTGGCGCAGCGGGTTAAAGCACAGCACTGAGAATCTAAAAGCCACTTCCTCATGAGTTCGATTCCCGCCTGCCCCGGAGGTGACCACATGGCGTGGCAGACCTCTCCTGACCCGCCCGCTGCTCCCCTCAGCAGTGTACTTCATCGATCTGCCTGTTCTGCTCCCCACTCTGTCTCTGGTGAATCCTCTCACCCTCCACATCTCTGGCCTGTACCCCAGTTCTCTATGAATAAATAAATAAATCTTTAAAAAAAATTTAAAAAAAAATTAATTTGAGAGGCTAAAAGTGGGGCTTCATCATTACTTTAAGAAATGCAGAGCTAGCGTGCCCTGAGCTGCACCTGCAGGGCCCTGTCCTGGACACGAGCGGTGTGGCATCGTACCCGAGCAGCCCCCGTCCTCCCGGCTGGGCCTGGGGCACAGGAGGGCGGGGAGGGAGATGGGCTCACGTCCGTGCGTGCTCTCTACAGCCGCCCGAGAGGACGGTGACTGCCACGTCCCCTCCCGCGGCGCCTAAGTGAGAAATCCTTAGAGCTTGGCACGGTCAAGGTACTGGGCACACGGGAGGAATACGTGGCCCTCCAGAAATAGAAGAATGGCTGATTCTCGAATGGTCACTGTAACTTTTTATTTGTTTTCTGATTCTGTTGACACACAACGCACTGAGCTAAAGAAATGTTATGGATACTGTGCTTCGTTTCTAATGATACTCTTGATAGGAATGTAACTTCCTCTATTCTCGATACTGATTTACTTCTGAGAAACTCCCTTATAATCTTTAATTCTATTATACAATTAGCAGCACTGAACCGTGAATACACAGTGGTTTCCTAGGGCGCAAGTTGGTTTCGGGCCCCTGGTAACATCTCAGAAACAAAAAGAAATTAATGTACTACCTGTCATGCTTCTGTTAAAAGAATCATTGATCCCTATATTTGCTTGCCAAGAAAATTTGTATAAATGCTCTGCACTCTTAAAAATAAACGACATTCAGATATGCGCTCCTAGAAGTCGTGTCTGTCTGTCACTCAACCTCATCCTTGTCCACCCTGCGCCAGAATGGCCGTCCCTGAAACTCGTCTCCTGCTCCTGCTGTATGGTCCACGGCAGGTGATGGCATGCCGAAGGCCCTGTGCGCCTGCCCCATTTAAGGGGACACAGGCCGGCTGAGGAAGCAGAGCGAGGCCTGTCAGCTGCCACAGGACGACAGTGACCGGGGCAAGGGCCAGGTTCCTGGGGCAGCGGGAGCAGGAGAGGCCCTGAGCTCTGGCAGCGGGCACGCTCCACTGAGGCCGAGCTCCTCCCTGAGGGCGTCAGCAGAGGACAAGAAGACAGACAAGACACACTTTCTGTCCTGAGAAAATGCTCCCTTCTGGAGGAAACTGCCCCAGCAGTACAGCTCCCCTTGCCGGGGCCAGGGGAGGGGGTAGCCATGCGGCTGGCTTTCCTGCCCGGCGGCAGACGCCGGCATCGGAAGCCACGAGGAGGGGAGGCGCCCCCCAGAGCCCGTGATGCCCGTGCTGCCCACAGCGCCTGGCACGTGGGCACAGCGCTCGCGCCCCTGGGTGCAATTAGTGAGGCCAGCGTCTCTCAGAGGGCCTGCTTCGAGAGGGCCCACGGCTTGAGGGGTTCCCCCAGAACTAGCACTTTTATCAAGGTCTTTGTTCCACATACTTCTGCGCCTCGAGGTTACAGGCCAGGCTGGCAAAGGAGTGCTGGCAATTCAAAGCTAGAATACCAGGCATCGGGTCCACGCCAGCCTGTGGGCTGGTCCCACCTCGACGCCAGCACCTGACCAGCAGTGGCTCCTGCCTCCTCGTCGGGGCGGGGGACGGGGGGGAGGACAGGCACAGAGGTGAGCTCCGGGCAGCAGCGCAAGGGCAGGCTCACATTTCCTCAGGGTGGGAAAATCAGTGGTAGGTGGGCTGCGTGCGGGGCAGGCTACACGCCTGAGTGACATCAGAAGGGGGCGGGGCAGGCTCACGCCCACTGGCTTCTGCCATCTGCTGGCCAGGGCGCCCAGAAACTTACCTGTGTAAAACTTCATCAGGGAAGGGACCAGCAACTTGGTGGAGAGAGGGTGGTTTTCGATCATTTCAAAAAACTTCTGGGTTCGAGGCTGAACTGCAGGGTTGGTCATGAACATCACCTCGACCAGCTTGGCCACCAGGTAGGGGTTTCGGATGTAGTTCTGGCTGCACAACATCACAACGAGGAACATCACAATATCCTGAGTGCAGGGCTCGTAAAGCACCTGAGGAGAGTACCTGGAGAGGTGAGGGGAGCCCAAGTCAGCCCCGAGAGTGAGAGCGGCAGTGGGGGCCTCGTCCAGGAGGGGGAGGGGGGCCCCCCGAGCAGGCCCAGGAGCCCCGGAGTCCCTGCCACTTGCTGCAGGTCAAGGGACTGTTGACATTGTACGTAGATTTGAAGGCCGTGGGCGTACAGGCCACAGCCGGTTTTATGAATTCATTTCGAAGCTTTCGAAAAGAAACCAAGACCATGAAAGAATCCCAAGGTGAGCTTCACCAAAGACCTTCCCTGCCAGAAAGACCTTTGGAAAGTGTGGGGTGGAGCAAACTGTTTTACCTTTCTGAAATCTCAAACACTGGTTGTGATCTCAACCCACTTCTCTGGAAGCTTTGCCCGATGTTACAATTGAGGAAAATTCTGGTACAAGCTAGAGATGTGGGTATTTTTAGCTTCTGAATGTTCACTCAGATATTTATAAGCTGCTTGCTCCGTTTTTCAGAAACACACAATTATTAGACTTCCACTCAGTTTTCACAGAATACATCAGTGTCAGCTGGTAGCCCTGTTTTTGTCTTTGCGTTATTATTGGAACTGGTTTGATGCCACAGTTGGATTTATGGTCTAGTCACCGGGCAGCCTTCGTTGAAAGCAGCTACATAAAATTTCAGGCGCAGTTCACGAGCAAGGTATATGTTCCAGATCAGGCCTATGTAATATGCTCAAAGTACTTACTGTACAATAAAAAATAAAAATTCAGCAACATCTTCTACATAAAACTCAGGTAATGCTGCAAACACCTTGGGGACGTCTGAATTCAAAGGCAGTGTTACACTGTCAAAGAGGAAAAGACACAGTTTACAGAACGAAATCACAGCACCACGTCAAACCGCAAGGACCCTCACAAGTTGCCAAATACTTGCTGGGCAAGTATTTTATTTGGGAAAAGACTTCATCTGATAATATAAGTATGTGTAAGAAAAAGCCCACTAGCCAAGAAAACACCCAGGAGTGAATGGGAACAATGAAGAAGTGGCTACAGCAGGGTGGACACAAAAGGTCTTTCCTTTTCTGGCTTTCCTGTGTTAACGTTGATGCAATAAATAAAATGGGAAGGAAATAAAACGGCCGCATTGGCTCATTTCATGTGGTTGTTTGAGACAGCAGGTCTCGATAGGCATGTATTTTAAATAACACCTCCACTACTCTGGGGGCTCGGGAGAACCCCGTCAACATCGGAACCCCAGACTGCATCACCCGCACAATAAAATGACAACAATAATAAGCAGAAACGGCTGCCCGGCGGGCTGTCCGGCGCGGTAAGGAGACGCGCTCCTAGCTCTCCTGCACCTGGTACCGGGAGGCTGAACGTTCCCTTACCCCCGGCTTTTAGCTTCCCATGGACAGATTTCCTTTGCTATTAGTCAGTGATTTCATAGCCAATTCTGAAAAAGCACTGTCAAAATTCAGATATGGGCATTGCCGGAACGCACTGGTTCCCTCGTGCCTGGAACCAGCAGGGAAACACGTTCACATTACCCATTTCCCAGGGTAAAAATTAAAAACTGAGTTCCTGGCAGAGTAAGGGCTTGTGGGCTCTGTCACGGACTTGGTGGGAAATAAAGACGACACAGCCCAGCGAGCCGCCAGGTGAGGGAGGACAACTCACGCGGGGTAGGCGGGGTCCAGGATGCGGAGCAGCAGCTGAATGAGGAGGCCGTAGAAGTTCAGGCATCTTCGGAGGAAGCTCTCGTCAAGTAAACCAGCGTCGGCACAGGCCTTGCATCGTACCAGTTTCTGTGGAAGGAGGTGGCCCACCCGAGATTAGCTGGGAGCCGAGTCCCCGCTAGGAACAGGAAGGTTCCCGGGCTCTGAGGGCTTCATCTAATAGCAGGCTGCAGGAAACCGGCCGCTGCTGGGGAACGTTCTCTGTTCTGAAGGAAACAGAAGGCACGCCAGGCCAGCCGCTGGCCCCTCGCTCAGGTGGGTCTCTGGGGTGTCCTGCTGCTATCACACTTGGGGGGGGGGAGGGAGGGGTGGTGCCCCCGAGGATGTGAGTGCGCTCTGGGGGGCCGTGTGCCCCCAAGTATGTGAGTGTGCTCTGGGGGCCGTGTGCCCTTGGGGTGTGTGCTGCGGAGCGTGTGTGTGCTGGCTGGGGAGTGCGTGTGCTCTGGGGGTGTGGGGAGAGTGACTGGGGGTGTGGGGAGAGTGCGTGGAGAAGTGAGTGTGCAGGGACGCCCGTGGACGGTCTCGACAGGGCGGTCGCAGCACAGACGTCAGAGAGAGGCTGCCGAGCCCACCAAGCCCCATGCGTCCTGTCCCAGACTTCCCTACAGACCAACAAGCCCACGAATGGACTATTTGATTCTGGGGGACAAGAACACGAAGATTAACAAGAAGACTGGGAACTGCTTCCTCAGAGCAGGTGCCCGGGCGTGCCCCCCGCGACACCAACCTTCAGCTGTGTCTTGCAGCGCTTCAGCATCTCGCGGTGTCTGGTCGCCAGCGGGGAGTCCTTCCACTGGCTTTCGTTATTTTTCAGATCTTCGACGGTTCTGAAACCAGAGGCCCATGGTCAAAGGGAGGAGCCCAGGGGCCCATCGCCCTCGCATCAGCCCGTCACCCCGGTGACTCGCACGCTTGGCCCGGCCCCGCTTCAGTGTCTCTGAAGTCAGAGCATCTTCGAGTCAAAGGCGAGGCAGGGTCTGAGTGACAGCACTTTTCTTTCTTACTGATTCTTGAAGTAACAACACCTTAGAAACGGTGACGCTCTAGACGTGCTGAAACAACAATCTCTCGTGCAGGAGATAAACGCTCCCCAGTTTTCTGGGAGAGAGAAAAGAAGTCTCACGCAGAAACCTGCAGGGACTGTGCCACCCCATTGCCAAAGCAGGGCACCACCTTACTGACGGTGCTCCCCAGTTTTCCCGTGCGACTGTTCTCACAGCGCAGAACGTTCTTCCGAGACGAGCTCGTGGCTCCCTCCTTCACCTGCTCCGTGTCGCCCTATCATGGAGTGGTCCCCCCAAGCCCCCTACACGTGTGTAAAAGCTGGTCACAAACACCTTTCAGCCCCTTTCTACCCCGGCGCACAGACAGCTGGAGGGTGACGCGGTTTCCGGGCGACACGACAGACTGAGGCCGGCAGCAGTCCTGCACACGGCCTCGCCCACAGGTGAACCCTTGCTGAGGGCGCAGTGCCAACAACAGGTGAGGTTCAAAGGCGCGCCCCAGAGCCTGCCGCCCAACAGCATCAGGGGCTTTCTATGAGAAAGCGGGAGTCAGCGTAAGGGACACAGCGGTGCCCGCTGGGCAGAGGCCGGGAGCGGGCGACCTGAGGACGCCTCGCAGCTGTTTCAAAAATGGCGGAAGCGGCGTGAGGCGAGGAACACGATGGTCTTCGGAAGTCGGACAGAGGCTGCTGGCCAAGTGTCCGGGAAGCACAGTCTCCAGGTCAGGAACCCCCAACCTCTAGAGGTCAGGAACCCCCATACGCCCATCGCGCACGTCGCCTGCAGTCCCAAAGTGGCGGTTTGCTGGAGCAGCAGGGGGAAGTGAAGAGGAGGACTGACATGGCCATTGGCTGCCCGAGGTGACAGGTCCTCAAGGAACCTCGGCCACGTGGTGAGGCTGACGCCCAAAGTGAAGCTCCAGTGAGCGCCCGAGGCCCGCACCGGCCTCCGGGGAGCAGCGCCGCTTAAACGCACCAGCGGTCCCGGCTCGCAGGGCAGCGGCTGGCCGACCCCGCCGGAGAGCAAGAGGACAGGCGCCTGCGAGACTGCAAAGCCGCGCCCCACGGCAAAGTCAGGGAGCCGGGGCGGGTCTGCCGTGCCCACGGTGCGGCGGGGCCCGGGCCACAGAGCACCCGGCTGCAGCGCAGGCTGAGCAGAGCAGACGGGGCTCCGAGGGTGCCGGCGGGCTGGGGGACGTGACGACGCCCTCGCCATGCCGCACCTGAGTGGACGCTCCACGGGGTGCTCCCGGCTTCTGAGGCGCCGCCCGCCACCCCCAGTCTGAGCGTTCAGGTGAGACGAGTGACCCGCCGTGGGCACCAGAGACAAAGTCACTCGCGGGAGACAAAGTCACTCGCGGGAGACTAAGCCGAGCTGGGCTGCTGCTGTGACATTACCACAAACAGGGCATCCTGCCAGATGGGGTGCGCTCCTCTGGAGGCGCCCTCCTCCCACCGGGATCCCCGTGGCTGATCGCTCTTCTGTCATCCCCTTTCCTTCTCTCCTTCTGGCCCTCTCGCCGCTCTCTTATTTATATGAACCCTCACGACACACTGGGTGCACCCACACAGTCCATGATCATGTCCCCAATCTCAAGATCCGGAGTTTAGTCACAGCTGCAAAGTGTCTTCTGTCCTGTAAGGTAAGTTACTCATAGGCCCTGGGCCTGGCTGGGAACGTCTTTGGGACACGATTATTCTACCGACCAAACATGCAGTGACCGAGGCGTGGGAGTGCCCGAGAGACTCTAAAACTGTGGCATGTGCCCAGCGAGGGAACCTGCCAATGCAGTTCTACGCAGCGTGGGGTCCAGCGCCCTCCCCAGCAGCCGGAGGGCTGTCGCCATGGGCCAGCTAGCTGACACTTGGAACTGACGGGGCCCTGTGCCGGAGACGCTGAAATGTCAGTTACTCCTTGGGATCATCGGCGGAAGGACTCAAGAGCTTAAGGAGTTGGGATACTGGCACGGATGGGCCGCGTGGCTAGCTCGGGTCATCCCGCCCTCCTTGTGCCAGAGGACACTTCTGTCACACCACTGAAAAGGACTCAGGCGCGCGAGCACCTGCATGTCTACGAAGTGCAACTCCGAGCGCCCACTGTGGCTGGGGAGAAGGCGGCGTGGGCCCAGGCGCCAGGGACTGGCCTCCCACAGCCACAGCGTCTCTCAGTAACTGCTAGGTGACTACATGGACAGGGCGCACGTCCCGCCCAGATGCGCACACGGTCCTGGGCCAAGTGGACCGAGTGGCCTCTCGGCTCTTACCCCATGATCTGCTCAAAAAAGCGTTTGCTTCCTGACCCTCTAGCTCTGGAGGTGCTGGATGTGGAGAGAAACGCTCAGATGAAGAAACACAACACTGGTGCCACCGAGTGGGAGCTGAGGCCACTATCTGACCATTTTGGTCTCTTTCTACCACAGGCAAAAAGGGAGTCGCGTGACGGCAGGCGAAGGTGCCCCCAGTGTGGGAGGGAGGGCGAGCCTGGAGATCCCTCGGCGTGTCTCCTGGGCGCACACGCCGGGGGAAGGAGCGAGCGGACGTCAGCAGCAACCACACTGTGAGAGCCGGGGAGCCCAGGAGCCGAGGCTGGGGTCCCTCCCATGGAAAGGAGCCCGTTCAGGCGAGGAACGGGCTGTGGGGAGCCCCCCAGCCCAGGTGCCGGGAGCAACCGGGCCGTCCCAGCAGACCCCACGTACCTATTGAGCTCCCGGATGGCCCGGAGCCTGCGGATGTAGCGACGGCAACTTGGCAGGATGGAGAGGTGGTGGGCATGCAGGGTGAGGAAGAAGCATTCCGTAGGGAATTTCGGCTCAGAAAACGGAGGCTGGTCTCCATCTAGGAAAAACAGCATAATCCCTGAATAAAGTCCATGGAGAGGTGGAGGGGGAGCCCATCGCTCGGAAGACAAAGCCGCACTTCGGGGATACTCTTACGGAGCCGCAGACCTGCGTGACGCCCTAAGGGGCTCAGAACTCCGGCGAGCGCCGACGACCGGGCTCCGCTCCGGGTGAGCTGCCCACGGCTGCCGTGACGCGCGCCCCGCCCCCCGCGGCTGCCCTGCTGCGTGGCGCAGGCCGGCCCTCAGCTCGAGGTGCGGCTGCTCCGCAGCAAGGAGCTACCTCTGCCCTCCGCACAGCGAGCCTGCTTCTCGGGTTTTGCCCACAAAGGACAGTGCACAGTCACCGAGAAGAAAAGGCCCGACCAGCGACTCGGTGAGTGGCGCCCACTTCTCCCAAACTTCCCTTCCAGCTGTTCACCGGGGGGGTGAGTTAGACGATGGTAACCTGAATTTCCTCCTACTGCCTAATTCCTACAAGTCTATGTGCATGTTTTTTTTCCTACAGATGCATCTTATTTCCTATGACCTCTACAGCTTATGTTTTTCTTCCAAACAAATGAAAACTGTCTTTTGGTCGAACTTCATTTGGATCTGATTTATTAACAGCAGTGCTGCAGTGTGAGCTGCATGACTTCCGAGGCAGTAAGACACGTTTCCCCATTCTTTTATCAATACACATCCATGTTGTCATTCTGTAACCAGGATGTCCAGGATGTACCAGGACACACCACTGTCCCTTTGCGTCTGGTTTCTCTCCTTCATGGCTGGATCAAATCCTGTGGCGTTTTTTTTCCCCCATGTTTTTGCTATGACATTTCTTTTTAATGTTTAACCCTGCGATACTTCTGCAGTTTACTATTCTCTGAGGCATGATTCCAAGACTGTCCTAATCGTGACTCACTCAAAGCATGGCATCAAGCATCCACCTTCACTGACTGTTGGACATGCACTGCCGACGGCAGCTGAATTCTTTCTAGAATGCGTAACACCACCACTGCCAGGTGGGCAGGAAGCCTGTCCCCGTGCCGGGCCAATCTTACGCTATTTCCACAGCACACGCCACAGGCTTCTGATGTCTGCCACTAAATAGCACGTTTACAACATGGAAGGGGGGAAATGAAGCACCACGTGCCTTCAAATCGGTCACATGTGACAACCACCGACTCATCAACATCCATGAAGCTGTTGATGAGCGTTTTGCGTGGCGCGTGAGATGTACCGACTTGGAAGCTGACCACAGAACGAGCCGTACCATATCCAAACGGGGAGGGGAGAACAGAGAGACTGTGGGCTGGCTCACGTGTGGCCTGTGGCAGGAGAACTATAAAACCACAATGATGTAAGAAAAAAGTTAATTTAAAAATAAGTAAAAGGAGAAAGCAGCAGAAGTCACTGGTGTGTGGTCTGAGTGCTGCCCACGCCACTGAGCCAGCAAGTCCACCTGCCCACGGGACTTCAGGTGACCGGCTGAGCGCCTTTCCTGTACTGACGTTTACGGTGCATCTCTGGTCCTACGCTCCTTTCCCCGAAAGCGAGCACGCGCGTGAGGAGCCGCGGCGCCCGCATGAAGGACACTCAAGGACACCCAGGGCAGCGCTGAGTGCCCGGCCGCGCGCGGCTCACTCACAAAGCTCAGCCAGCCACTCGCTCACGTCCTCCATGGTGGCGTTCACGCGCGTCTCGTCGTTGGGGAGCACGACCCTGCACCTCGGGTGGAATATGTACGCGGGGTCCACCGTCTCTAGCTTGATCTTGGTGCTCAGCTGCTGCAGCACCCAGAGGAAATTCAGCATGAACCCGTCCGTTGACACCAGTCTATCATCCGTCTGGGAAACACGAACACACGGTTTGAGACAATGATTTCAAAGGCAATCTCGGCCAAGTTTGTTCTCGTTTATTTATGCATCTAAGAGCTGGGGTGCAGGCTTGGGGGGGGGAGAGGATTCCTCAGAGACTGAGTGGGGAGCAGAACAGGCGGGTCACTGAAGTCCACCGCTGAGGTGGGGCATTGCTTCACTGTGCTGTGCTTTAACTCCTTGTGCTACCAGGGAGGCCCCTTGGTCAACTCTATAAAGGGTCATCCTAAATGTAGCCAAAGGACACACATCTCGCTCCCCCTCACTGCTAGTCGGTGACACTTGCCAAATATTAATCCAGTAAGAAGCACTTGAAATATTCTCTCACTGAATGCTCACAACAGCCTTGAGACGCCAACGATCCTGTCATTCACGTGCAGGGGGGAACTAAGGTCCAGAGAAACTCAATGACTCGTGCATGGGCCTCAAAATCAGAAAGGGGAAAAATACACGCTGCCGCCTTCTCTGTTCACTGACGGAGTGCTGTGCTAGCCGACAGCCGCAGCCCCTCTCACAGTACCGCCAACCTGGCCGGCTGCATGCTCATGGGGCCGGGCTCTGTTCTGACAGCCGTGCCGGGTAAGCCCACAAGTCACACCGTCACGAGCCCCACGTGGCTCCTCGGACACTGAGGCACAGAGAAATGACTGCAGAGCGCCCCTGTGAGTGTGTGGGGGCCGCAGCCGGCCCTACCCCCGCTCTACACCCTCCTCCCCTGCTAAGCAGAGCTGTCACTCACTCGTTACGTACTAATGAGACCGGCAGGACTCCCAGTAACTCCTCCACCATGGCAAAACGGCCAAGACACCAGTTTCCCTCACAGGACTGGTCTGTCAGAAGCCAGAGACTGGTCCTGGGGTCTGTCTCTGCACCGTCCCCTCCCACCCCCGTCCCCAGCCCTTTCTGAAATACAGAAGCTCAGGGGCCTTGCTCAAAACCTTCTACCGACTTCCAGTTACAGTTCCCACATGGAGGCTGAGCTGCTGGGTCTCTGTTGCTCCCGCCCAAGACCCATCATTCCTGGTCACTGTCCTCCAGCCACAAAGCCCTGGCCCGGGGCTTTGCCAAAGCCAGTTCTCTCCCACTTAGTGCCTGGCATGTATCCAGAAAGCTCTTTTCCTGATCTTGTGATGCCGACTCTTGCCAGTTAAGTCTCTGATCACAATGTCACCTTCTTTAAAGGCCGCCCCTGTGATTATAGGCAAACCACACCCCACTTTCCGCTGGTACCTCCACAGTCCCGCTCAAGCTCCGCCTGGCTTACTTGGCTTCACAGACTACAGCTGTCTTGACAGACTGGCAGAACACGGGCACCAGAGGCCCCGCACTGCTCTGTGGCTCTCACACGGCCACAGCATATTGGGTCCCTGGAACACCCCGGGCAGGACTGAAGAAAGGAGCTGGGTGGAGAGACGCAGGGGAAGGGCCGACGCAGAAACCCTACCTGCATCTGCGCCTTCTTCATGTTGGCGTTGACAACGGCCGCCATGTAGCCGAGAGCAGCCTCACGGGTTTCGCCATTTAACAAAATACTATGCAGGGTCTTGAAAAGCTCTTGCTGAAATTTGTTTCAAAAGGAAAGAAGAAAAAGAAAACGTTATTGTAAAAATTCTGGCTGCGAGGACAATTAGCCTCTTTCCCACCTGCCTCTGCCACCTGTACTCATTCCAGGAGGCCTGACAGGAGGGGGCAGAGGGACGTCGCAGCTATGTCAAGATAATTAGCTGGAGACAGAATGCGGCGTGGAGGAGTTAAGTAGTCACAGTTGTGACTACTAAAATAAATAATAAAATAGCCGTTGTCATTTCCTTTCCAGGACAGGATCAAAATTACCTCAACCATGCTATAATCAGCTGATAATTCTGCTGCTTTTAAGTCTGAGAATGAAGACCCGGCCCTTCTGGGCTTCCTCCGTTTCTGCACACCTACCCTTCCCAGCTCCAAGTAATGCTGCAGTGACTGGCTGACCACACGTGTGTTTTCTAGGGTAATGGCAGGGCCTGAGAAATACTTTTCAACAACTTTAGCCTGGAGGAAAAGGAAAAAAGTTCATCAGCATCCAGTGCATGTTTGGGAAGAACACTGCAACAAAGAGCAAGTGGCTACTGTACTTACGTCGTCTTCGGCAAAGACCGAGAAGCTAAAGAAAGCCCCCAGGTAGGAGAGTCTCTGCAACTCCCGCCCGGAGCCGGGGCTTAAGGACTTGGGCAACCACAGCGGCAAAGAGGCGACCTGTGCCAGACAACGGAAGAGGCCGTCAAACCGTCAGTCAGTGAGTGAGGCCAAACGAACGAGCAGAGAGCTCAATAGCACCCTTCAGCTGCTGCTGTTCAGACACAGCATTCCCTCCAAAATGCTGACAGCTGCGCTGCTTTTCTAGTAAACTCATATGCTGTAAAAAACTTCAGACACAACAGAAAGATAAAATGAAACAGAAAATTCACCCTGTTCTCATCCTCCAGCCTGAGGGCTGACGCTGGACACCTACCGTCACGAGGCTCCCATGTGCGCTGGTCCTGCCTCCCCTTGGAGGAAACCTCTTCAGACTCCTCTGCGATTTTACGAGATGTTTCTAAACTTCTAATGCTTCAAGACCCTCTGATAGGGCTTGAGATTCTGACGTTGCCAAGGCTCAAGTCAATTTTTCTTGTAGGACTTGTTATTCTTGTTGCACAGAACTTACCCCCCAAAGTCACAGCAGAGAGCAAACCCCAGGAGGTAATGTTGACAGCCACAATCTGACTCTGAGAGCCACCCACACGTGTCAGCTGTGTCTACATCTAAGTTTCCTTTGGGAGAACTTGTCCAGGTAACGCAGCTAAGGGATGCGTCCTGGCTATGTATTCACTGAGAATGCAAGCCCATTGGTGGAACTTACCAAATTGCACACAGGGTGTGTCTTTCCAAACTTGGTTTCACAGAGCTCCCCCAAAGCCTAGAAAGAAGACCAGAGAGAGTGTGTGATGATGTCACCTTAAACTCCCTGCACGTGTAACTGGGATGAGAGCTTTAGCTGCTGCTGTTCAGACACAGCATTCCCTCCAAAATGCTGACAGCTGTGCTGCTTTTCTAGTAAACTCATATGCTGTAAAAAACTTCAGATAAAACATGAAAGAGAAAATTCATTCATAAACTTTCCTCTCAGAGATAACCTCTAATGATACTTTGGTTAACAGTTTGCCAGAGATACTTTTGTGTATATGCACACAGAAATAAAGGTCTATATATTTTTTAAAGATTTATTTATTCATACAGAACTGGGGTACAAGCCAGAGACTCAGGGGCGGTGAGAGGCTTCACCAGAGACAGAGCGGGGAGCAGAACAGGCAGATTGACGAAGTCCACTGCTGAGGGGAGCAGCGGGCGGGTCAGGAGAGGTCTGCCGCGCCCTGTGGATCTCCTCCGGGCAGGCAGGGATCGAACTCATGCAGAAGTGGCTTTAGCTTCTTAGTGCTCTGCTTTAACCTGCTTCGCCACCAGGGAGGGCCAAGGTCTATTTTTTAAAGTGACTTTTTCATAGAATGGCTTTCTACATCAGAAAAACATGCTTCATGGACTTCTGATCCTGTGCCTTCCCAGTGCTATGCAGGATATTTGGTAATTACAACTGAGCTGGCCACCAAATCCAGAACACTGTTAGAAGTGTCACTTGCTTTCAAGAGCTCTGGTCATGCAGAGGCTCAAGTTCCCCACAGAGTGCCCTTTCTCACATGGGAGGACCAGGAGTAGTTCTTAGGCCCATCCAGTTTAACTCAGTTGCGGTAATCCAAGCAAACACCATTCTAACTGTGAGCTGAACGTCCTCTATGGTCCGGACAAGGCTAACTGTCACTAAAGCAGAAGTGTCTGGGTGAATTCACCCAGGCACGACAGCTCTGAGAGGCCACTAGGGCCCAGGGGGCTGCCGAGGAGGGAGCTCTCACAACACCTCTGCTGAGTCCCCCAAACTCAGCTGTGATGAGGTCACCTGAGAAGCCTTTAAGCATCCCAGCACCAGGTCACCCCCTGCCCGTGCCCTTAAGGAATTAAATCACAAGGACTGCAAGGGGGGCGTGGGACATCCTCAAGACCCTCAGGTGATTGTCCAGGTGACTGTCCAGGCGGCAGCTGGCAGAGCAGGGCTGCAGGGCCCGGACAGGGGTCAGAGTGGTCTGCATTTCCTTCCAGTGGCTTCCTCTTCCTGCCTCACATCGCTGTCCTTAACCCTCACTGTGTTCTCATTGTTATTCAGGCATCAGTAATGGTACAAAATAAAACAATTGTGCAGCAGAACAGAGGCCTCTGTCTTCTGACCAAGAAACAGCTCATTGATGTCTGACGTTGAAAGTGCCTCACTGGAACATCAAGCTAGTCCAGGCCACGAGAGAAAGCCAGCAGTTCCGAGAAGGGATATTCACGCAGCCGTGATAGTTCAAGCTGCCTTTCCACAATCAGATCGTTCCACTGCCTTTCGTCTGCCGCAGTCAGAACAGTGCACGCTGAGTCACAAACTTCATCAGGAACCCTGACCCACCCACTCAAAATTAGGCTTATTTTTGGAATTTTATTTTTTGCACAGAACAAATGGGGTACAGACCAGAGATGCGGGGTGAGAGGACTCCCCAGAGACAGAGTGGGGAGCAGAATAGGCGGATCCACTGACATACGCTGCTGAGGGGACAGCGGGGAGACAGGAGAGGCCCTGGGGGGGTCAGCTCCCTGGCCGGGGATGAACTCTGGCTACAGCATTGCTAGTGCTGATGTTTAACTTTTCGGTCACCAGAGAGGCCACAAAATTATGTTTAAAAGAAGCCCCATTCACCTGCTAACTCCCAGCATTGCTTTTAGTGGTCTGGGTGCTATCATTTGCACACCTCCGAGAGGACTCTTATGAGTGCTGTCATCCGACGGCATCGAGTGGGCTGGCTTTGTGCAGATGAGGAGCACCTGCTGGGGTGGGGGGTAGTGGGGGAACCCTTCCTCGTCAGCGCCTGTGTCCCCAACACTGGGCCCAGAGAGGCCTCGGAAAGCAGTGAAGATGGAAGCCAGCGGCAGCAAAAAAATATCAGTTTACCCAAAGCCCTCAATTAAGCTCGTATTTACGCAAAGAGTTAATGAATCTCACATTTTGTCAATTCCCCTTCCTATTTCTAGAATGAAAAATACTCAGTAATACTTGAAAATGTTTTTCTCCCCCAAACCCCAGAGCAGCATATTCAGAGGAGAGCATGTCATGTTTACATCTGGCCCCAGCGTGTCCCAACATCAAGGGCCTGGTGGGCAGCGAGTGAGCTGTGTGCAGGGTGGCGCTGCTCCCAGGGCCGGTGAGAGTCCAGTCGCTGACTCCAAGCAAAGCCTAGAGAGAAGCCCACAGCCCAGGGACACGGGAGAGGAGCATTACTCTGAGCTGACCTACAGAAAGCCACGACCTGGAGGTAAGAATCTGACTGCCTTGGAACTGCACCTGTAAGTTTTTTCCTTATAACAAGCTCTGATGTGGGCTGCTCGTTGCTTAAAGGGAAGGCCGCCATCAATACGGCTATTCCCAGAAGCTCTGTGGCCGGCCGAGGCCCCACTGGGTGACGGCACCACCGAGGCCCGGGGCGAACCTGGCAGAAGAGGGAGGGCTGCCTCTCGTCGCACACCCAGCACCCCGCGTGGCCGACACGGTCATTCCGGGCTTTTAATGTGAAAACAGGGCTGCCCACGGGAGACGGGAGGGAAAGGGTTATGTTCAAATTGCTGAGTGCGTTCAAGAACAGAGGCAAGTCTTACCATAAGCGGGTACTTGAAGTAGTCGCTGTCCAGGGAGCACTCTTTGGCAGCAAGAGCCAGGCCTTGTAAGATGGGGGTAAAGATCTGCAAAGGTAAAAGAAGAACCACAGGAAACGTGAGGGAAGAAACCGAGAGGGGCGAGTGATGTCAACTGAGTGCTGGATCTGAATGTCCAGGCGTTTCTAGTCCTTCCCTGAGGAGAAGCTGTTTCTCGTGGATGGGAGTCTAGAATCTGGCCACACAGGGCTACTTCTTTCCACCCGGCTGCCGTGAAGCAACACAGCTGGATTCTCTAGAAGTCACTGGATTTGGTGAGCTCTAAAACTGTGGCAGCTCTTCTGTGGTGTGCTAGAAACACTATTTGGAGCCTGCTGCAGGGGCCCCCCCACTCCAACCAACCAGTCTGGACCCCGCAGCAGCTATGTTTCTGGATACCACCTACCTATCAGTTGCAAAGGAACTGGACTAAATGTTCCACTATTTTCTCAACTCAATTAATGTTTCCAAAGACCTTGGGCTGCCACCCACCGCCTCCACCTGATTCTTTCCATCTCTCCCCGCTTACTGTGAAGAGCACAAACAAAACAGACCAATCGTGCCTGCTACTGTTACATTAACTTTAATTATGTAGAGCAAAGGGACAGCTCATAATGTTGACAATGGAAAAAACTTTACTGGTTGCCCGATCGCCACACGCGATGTAGTTAACCGCCCCAACGTCATCACGCAGGGGCCCTCAAAGTCGCTGTCACACGTTAGCAAGAACACCAGGGCACGAGGACACTACCAGGTTTGGCCCACGCAGCTCACCTTCAAGCCTCACAGTGCACTCACTGATGAACGCATTCAGGGAGCTGGCTGGGACTCAAGACTAATAGCATTACGTGGACAGTGCTGTAAACCACAGCTGGCAATCCGGATGCCGATAGGCTGAAAAAGGGAGTGTTCTGTAAAGTCTGGGGGAAGCCTAGAAGCTTCCCATTCCTGCTAATTTCCTCCCAGTGTATTAAGCATCTTTGTGACTGAAGGAGCACAGTGATTGGAGGTGCTCCGGAGAGCCCCGAGATCGACACACTTCTAGAAGAGATCATTCTAGCTTTGGAAACGCAAACAATCAGGGTAGAAGTAATGTGCTTTCACGAGCTAGCCAAAAATGGAGAGGCGGGGATGCGATCAAGAAAAAGGAGCAGATGTTCCAGAATCATCAAACAATTATTTTCATGGAGAACTGGTCATCTCAAAACATATATATTTTTCAGAGAATGCTATCTAGAAAGGAAACCATCTTTAATCTTTCTATTTGAATTCCCCTCTTTTATAGAGTTGAATTTGTAATAAACAGAAAAAATTACTAAACACAGTAATTTTCAAACAAATATTATACTGCTTGTGTGGCTTTAGTTCAGAGATCTATGCATTCTTGTGTCCACTAGAGCACCATTTACAATGGAAATAACCTACATGCCCAGCTTATGTTGGAATTATGGGAGTGGATTTAAGGAAATTAAGGAATTAAGGGAAATGAATTAAGTTGTGATGTACATAAAATGGAACACCCCTCAGCCAGCCAGCCATCATTCATCCACCCATCTGTCCATCCATCCACCTGTCCGTCCATACACCCACCCATCCACCATCCACCCACCCATCTCTGTAAAGGATGAAACCTTGCCATTTGTGACAATGTGAAAGAAACCAGAGGGGATTACGCTAAGCAACTGAGGCAGAAGGAGAAAGGCAGGCAGATGCAGGAAGATTTCACTCGTGCGTGAAATACAAACAACAAAGAACCTGACAAAATTCAAACAAAATAAGGTCTTGACACCTAACTGGTGAATGTGGCCGTAACATACAACTAGAGAGGGCCCCGCCACCAAGCCTGCACCTCTAAATCAGACACAGTGTTACAAGCCAGTGTGATGCAATGTATCAAAGTGATCCAATTTCAAAACCTGCTACAAAGTATTCATTTCCAATCCTAAATTCTAGCTGCTGGCTGTCTGTCTGAACACCTCAAGCTTTCACTGTAGCAACTCCACCCCACTCCACTCATCACTCCTCCCTAGCACACACACCAGGTGATCCTGCAAGGAAGGCCCAGGCATCTTCAGCCCAGGAGGCAGAAAAGGCAAAAGGCACGACACTGGGTAGCAGGCCTGACACACGGGCTGGAGAGGCCATGCCGGGGCGCTGGGCCTGGTCCTGATACTTCCAAAGGGCTAATTTTATGATATGTGAACCGCACTCTGATTTTTTAAAAAGGTAACTTCCTAAGCTCCATGCACATCTGTGACCAACACTGTCAGCCGTCTACTGGGCTGACACAGCTGCACTGGCTCCACAACGATGTCTTCTCAGGAAGGGAGAGTGTGGCGACCCTGCACCTGGCCTACAGGACACTGGCCTACAGGACACTGGCCTACAGGACACTGGCCTACAGGATAGCCTCACTGAGACTGGCGGGGGTTTGTTTTTTTAAGACTGACTTATTTACGCGCACAAGAACTAGGGTGCAGGCCAGAAGTACCTCCTGAGACAGAAGTGGGGAGCAGAGCAGGCTGACCCACTGAGATACACTGCTGAGGGGAGCAGCGGGGGGTCAGGAGAGGTCTGCGGCACCCTGTGGGTCACTCCCTGGCCAGGGATCGAACCAGGCTGCAATGGCTGCGAAGAGCCTCGTAGTGCTAAGCTGTAACCCCTGTGCCACCGGGAGGCCCAGCAGTTAATTTCCGTCTGTGTTCACTTATTTCTCCAGATGCCACCTCAGATAGCCCCATAGGGGAGCAGCCCATCACCTAAGACAAGCTGTTGATGAATCACAGATACAGAGGACAAACACCAGCTGGGCTTTAACTCCAGATTCTTCTTTTACTAATATTTGAAAAGCACAGTTCCCAGGAATCCAGAGGCCTTAAAACAAACAGTCATGAATAATATTAGGTATAAAGATTGGCTAAAAGGAATCAGCCATTCAAGCTACTGCCTCTGCTATCCTTTCAAATCAAGGAAAAAAATAAATGATCACACCAAAATGTCCTAAAATCCTTTCATCAAGGGCAGCTGCCTGTGTGAAAGCTGCCTGGCAAGTGCTGACTTTACCACAAAACAGCAACAAAATGTAATGGCAAATTTTCACCTTGGAAGCAACCTTGAAGATTAGCCAGCCATACCAGTAAATATCCGAGCTGCAGCACCACCACCGCAACGGCCCACTTTGATGGCCTGAGTTCGATCCCTGGCCAGGGAGGGACCCACAGGGCGCAGCAGACCCCTCCTGTCTCCCCGCTGCTCCCCTCAGCAGTGAGTTTCAGTGGATCTGCCTATTCTGTTCCCCAACCTGTCACTGGGGAATCCGCTCAGCCCCCCCATCTCTGGCTAGCACCTCAATTCTATGCAAAAAATAAATTGGTATCCGAGATGCATTTTCAGTTGACAGGATAGAAAAATGTATGAATAATTAGAGAACAAAATAATTAACATTATATGAGGCATCCTCCCTAGTTTAGGGGCAAAAGACAGATTTTACGTGACGTGCATACTGCTGCTGAGGTACATGGTCACTGTTTATTAATCGCTTTTCATAAACTAGAGCACTATTTCAATACTACTCGTGTGGCAAATACCACCTCTTGCTGTCCTTATATGAAAAGGGACAGGGCTTTCTCTTTGTCTCCAAAGCATTAGCAAGAACTCTGCTTGAAAGGCCGGATGTCTGACTGACTGGTAGAAATGAGAGCAGGATATGGACACTGTTGCTGTCTGTCTTATTTCCTCAGGAAAGGAAGCTCAGACAGGTCTCGTCTGAGCAAATAACACATGCATGTTCAAATTCAAGAGCAGAAGTTTTTCAGTCTACGGTGTATTTAGAAACCTGCCCCAGCACAGAAGCTCCCAGGCTAAGCGTTGCCATAGCAACTACAAACCCTTACCTGCTTGAACACTTCTTCGTCCTGGTGAGTGGTTCTCACCAGTTCTTGAATGAAACCATAGGGGAGATTCCTGCACAGCATGTACGGCACCAGGAAGGACGGCTGCTGCATGGACCTGCGGACACCGAGGGCAAGGGCTGATGAAGGGCTCACTGCCACACGACACACGGCGACAGTTGGCGGCAGCCGCCGGCAAGAGCCAGGCTTTCGTCCCTCCACTACTCTACTCGAGCATTTTAAGCAAAAGATCTCCCTTCTCATCAACAGCTGTTTTTTACCTAAAAAATGGGAGACTGCATGACGTTTCAGAAAAATTCTCCTTTCCCTATATGTGATCCTTAAATATAAAACATTAAAAGAGAAACCAGATACGGCTCTTTTACTTATCGGGCTCATGCCTGATCTGATCGGAAAAAAAGATCCGTAACAGCTAAGGATTTAAGAAAACACTTATTAATTCTAACCATAAAACACTTTTTAAATTTTACAAAGTGTATCATTTCCCTTCTTTTTGACCGTCTCAAAAACATCTGGTTACTGTTTAGGAAATAATCTAGTGAAGAGCAAATAAAAGTTGTAGCTTTGTCACTTTTCCTTTAGATATTTTTGCATAACAGAGACGACATATACAAATAATCTTTCATTAAATTTGAAACCTTCGGTGGCCTCTCAAAAATAGGCAAACAATAATGTCATACTTGGGGTGCTTTCTGAGCCCGCCCCACCGCCACCCCCACTCCTTATGTGACAGCAAACACGGCTGTGTGTCCAGGGAGCAGGCTGGCCGAGGTGCCGAAGCCTCCAGCTTCCAGAGCCACCTCTGGGCCAGTTCGCTCAGTGCCGCCTTGATGTCCGCAGAATTCAATTCAACAAGAGCCGTGTCCGTAAAAGAACTCTTAAAACGTAATTAACTTCTTTTCAAACGGATTTTGTGCCCCTTAGAGAAGGCAGGAAAGGCTATCTCAGTATCACAGCCGAGGGAAAGCGATGCAGAGATGATCCGGTCAGCCACTTTTGCTTTAGTGGGGGCAAGGGGAGTTAGTTCTGCAAGGTGCTGCCTTGGGCTGGGGAGCTGCGGCCCCCCCACGCCCCACCCCCGCTCCCTCATACCTTGGCTGCGTGAGGGAACCCTGTAGGACTAACGCGGTATGGGAGATGCACTGTGAACGGATGTTGCTCAGAAGCTGGCTGACGGCCGGCTGGCTGCACATCTGAAAAGAAGGTGGACGTTAGGGTCACCTAGACAAACAAAATGACCCCACACTGTTGACAGCTGACAGGAGTCGAAGAGATGGCTCGCTAGGAAGTGGCCTGCTCGTCCCTTCCTCTGCCCAGGGTGAACAATCTAGGGTAATGACGGGCAGGATGGGGAGTCGGCGGTGGCCACGGGGGAGTCTCGGAGACACCCCACCCACTTTGCTGGTGTGGAAGTGCAACAGAGGCCAGGGTCCGTCACAGACGCAGTGGGCAGCAGGACTCCTGATCAGTGGAAAACTAGAGCTAGACAGTAACACGGGCGTGAGCGCGAATAACGCAGCGGCGTGAAATGGGGACGTGTAGTTTCCCGAGCTGGCTTTGTATGTGCTTCTGGACAGTTACTGGTCTCGCTGAGGTTCACTCCTTATGCGCCCAACGGCAGGAATAACACGGCCATGCCAGGCTGCCTGAAAGCTGAGCGAGTTGGCCAGTGCCGGCCACAGCGGCATGCAGGTTTCGGGCTCTGTAAATGCCACTCGCGGCCACTGTGAGTATGCAGACACTTTCCCGGGGTCTGGTCACCGCCCATCTCTCCTCTCCGCCAGCACCATTCTGTACCATTCTGGTCCCTGGGCCGCCCCCAGCGCCGGCACAGCGCCTGGCACCCCGTGAGTGCTTACTGAGTGGCCTACGGAGCGAGTGTGTGAATGAACAATCTCCAGGGGCGCGGGGGGGGGGGGCGGGGTACACACGATCATTCATCTAACAGAGAAGCCGGCTTCTGTGGCTTTTCCAAAAATGACTGTCTTTGTTTACCTTTGGTGCTTTTTTCTCCTCTATTCCAACTCGGTCAAAACACTCGATGAGGTAGTTCAGCATGTCTGTCTCCTTGCACGTCTCGATGGTGAAATGGTCGCTGTAGGAATCCCACGTACTTGCCCCACCAGAGGCTCCCAAACTTTGGAGAAGAGAAAAGACAAGTGATGATTCTTAGCTCTTCTCAACTGCTCCTTTCCGACAGCGACTGTGCTTCTGCAGCGGAGAGCCGGTTAGAGCCCCCGCCCCACAACCAAGCAGACACCATGCGGCCCGTTCCAGCGGCTCTGGCGACCATTTTAGCAAACATGTTGCTGACCGCAGGGGTCTGACCAGGGAGCCAGCACCGCAGCTCACTGGCCGCAGCAACTCGCAAGCCAGGCTGAGCGCGGCTACCAGGTGCCAGGCGCGTCACGCACTTAGGCCAAGCGGCCCGGCGGTGCCCACACCACTGCAGTCCCTGACTGCAGGGTGACGTCACAAGGCAGGGCACCCCGCGCCCCGTGACCTGTGGCATGCACGGCCACAGCCTTCGCCAACGGGACCAGAGCTAGGAAACCCGTCCAGTTAAGAAACATGAGAAATGTTTAATAACACAAACAATTCTAAAACCTGCGGCAAAACGGGCAAAATAGGACTGACTGAGTAAGCGTGCCAGAGCGTGCCCCACTTGCTGCGGAGGGGCGGCCCAGGCCCAGGCCCCACCTCGAGGGGCTGCGTGAGGATCTGGACGTGTTTTGGGAAACACGAGCTGGAAACAACGCAAAGCACTGCTGTTGTTAGCAATGATGCTTCTCTGAGCCAAAGCCGAACATCATCACCAGCGTTACCAGAGGTGAGGCGATTATAGTTCAGACCAACCATCAACAGGTCACACGCCGAGTCTGACGTCTCAGTCACGCTGATGTGACACACACACAGGCTGAGGATGGCCTAAGAGGGATCTCAAAGGAACAGGAAACACTACGGGAGTGCATGTGCCAGAAGAGGGTGGGAAGACCAGCAGCAAGGCGGGGGACCGCCCCTTCTTCACTCCGGGCACACAATTAGAAGGCAGGAACGACCAGACCCCGAGGGAGTGACAGTGCCGGCACATTAGGCAGACGCAGGGACACACGCTGATCGGAGATGTAACTGGCCTTCGGGTTTTCGAAAAACATGCAAAACGACCCTTGAAGTGAAAGCGGCTGAGTATCGGCGACAAAAAAGATGAAGCCGGGCCAGTTCTAAATCCAGGGCCTTCGGAACACAGCCTGGTCAATCTGGGATCTTATGACTCATGACACAGCTGGCCAGAGGGAAGGACAGAAGCCAGACTGGGCAGCGGCCAAGGCAGCCCACCCCTGTTTGTGGAGAGAGCTGAGTGCCCCAGAGAGTGCTCCTCCAGAGCCACGTCAGAGCTGGGGCGGGGGGGGGGCAGTGTGGGGACCCTTGGGAAAATGACAAGAAATGCCTGTGTCTTCATGTAGGTTAATTTGGGAGCATGCTTGTTAGCTACCGGCAGGAGCTGGACTCTGTTCACTGATCTCCACGAGCAGGATGAGTGACTGTAATGGCGCATGGGGTGGGTGGGCGCAGCCAGAGGTCACAGCAGAAAGCCCCACTGCCAATGTAAGGGGGCTTAGTCCTCAAGAGCAGGAAGGGAAAGGAAGGGCTCTATCTACCTTTACCTGCGCCATCTTCCTGCCAAGCCACCTGCGGCCCCGCCCCCTCCTGTCTGACCTCCGCTCACTGCATTCCCCTGAGCTGTGCTGATGCAAGCTCTCGCCTACGTGCAACTAAGGGCAATTTCCCTCAACTCTTGCAGATGGCGATGAGAAGACAAGCCCCACTGTGTCTAAAAGGCAAAAGTTTAACCCCAGATTTCCTTGCTAACAAGTCCCACGTTTGTTACTTTTTTCCCAAATGTTTCTGAAATGAAGAGCATCTTGCATCTGATAGGCGACAGATCCTTGCCCGCTGCAGAGGTCGGCGGGCGGGGTGGGGTCTGCGTGACGTCACAGGCTTGGGGGGACCTGCTCCTGCGCAGGACTCAGGCTCTGCCCTAAGCTGAGGAAATGGGCGCGTGGGCGCGCTGCTTCACGGTCACTTGACACTGAACACCTCGCCGTCAGCCGCAGCCGCCGAGTCACCGAGTCACCGAGTCTGCGGTTGACTGTCGCAGGCTGGGCAAGAGGGAAAGCACAAGACTGTGAATGGCAAAGCCAAAGGTGCTTGGTAGCCTCTGGTGCGCCTCTGTCAGGCAGCAGGCAGCAAATACTTCCAGTTCAAGAGAACGGAGGGGCGTGGGGGT